ACACACACACACACACACACACACACACAGGTTACCATGGTTACATGTACTGAAACAGCCTCTAACGACAGACATTTGGCTTTTATTTGGACAAAGCAACAGAACAGCTGAATGTATGAAATTAGTTGGAACATGCAGGGAGAATCGGACCAGATGGGACCGGTTGGGAGTTCTGGACCAGGTTCTGGACCGGTTGGGTAAACCCAGACCGGCGGCTCTTACCTGCAGGTGGGCAGGTTGAGTCTCATCTCACACTGGCCGTGTTGGCAGGTCTCAGCGTCGTCTTCAGGGCAGGGCAGAGCGCCGTCCAGGAAGCCGTTCCCCTCGTCAGGCTTGGACGCCGCTGCATTAGAAAAGAGAAGAAGAAAATTCTGATTTCTGATTGGCTGTCGCAGCAAACAGAGGCAGCAGCAGCAGCTTACCGTAGATGTCTGGTTTCCCCTTGGAGCCGTCGTCTTTCCTGCTTTTATCTAAAACACAAAATAAAAAGAATCATCTCCGTCTTTTAGCTCAGAGTAAAAATGCTTCTGCTCCTAATGACAGCAGGAAGATCAAAAAAGAAGAAAATAAATCAGGTTTATCGTTAGATTTTTTAAATCTCTTCTCCTGAAGGAAATCTCTGCCATGATTGTTGGTGATTCTTAAACAGGTTGAATCTCATGGATTTAATTTTGTTCTGTGACACATTGCAGTATTTTACTTTGACACACCATAAGCTCCTTTCTGTCTGTTTCCTGTTTTATTGAAGTTTCCATCTATTTGCTGCCTGATCCTCCAGTGGTCCAGATTTCTGCTTCTCTTCCCTCAGGACAAACATGCAACTCTGAGTTTATCTTAATCTGATGGGATGGAAACGTTTACAGAGACGCTGCAGGGCGAAGACGCGTCTGCAGGAATGTCCTGATGATGATGAAGTGAAATCTCTAAACTCACTCTGAGGATGAGAAAAAGTTCATGAACTATTTATCAGAACTTTCATTAACATGAATGAAAATTCAGCTTCAGAGGTTTGATGAATGTTCAGAACATTAAAGACAGGAAAGCAGATCATTTATTAGAATTAACTGTATGATTACATCAAACTCTGGCCTTTCATGTTTATGACATATTAATAATGTGATGTCACAGATAATCATAAAGCTCCATCTGAGGCAGATTGGAGTCCATCAGTCTGTCCTCCTTCATGCTGCATGTTAGCTTAAGTAAAGTTAGCAAGAACAAAACACTGGATCACAAATGAGCAGGAATAAATATCAGCACTTTGACAGACTGTCAGGTTTAGTTACATACAAACTGCAGCTTAAAAAAATCTGATGTCTTCAGTTCAGACTGGATACAATTTATATATAGAAATTATTTTTATTTTGTTTATTAATTATGTTTATTCTGGTCCTTAAGATGCCAACATTCCCACATCATCAAATTACATCTGATGAAGTAATTTTAAATATTAAATGATTTATGTTCTTCTGTCGCCTTTTTACCAAAAACTTTTTGACTTTAATCATTTCTTGGACGGAAACTTTTTACTTCAACTTGAGTAAAAACGTGTCAAAGTCCTTTTGCTCTAACTTCAGTGAGATTTTTACTCTACTCATCTCGGCTAAAATGTGATTTTTTCATGATTAAAGTGTTAAAACCAGATTCATCCAGATCCATTTCAGCCCCAGTTTGTTTCCTGAACACGTGCAGTGATGAAGAGGAGGAGTTGAGGGGAAGAGCAGTTGGTTTCTGAATGAGAGCAGCTGGTCAGGGAGCTGATGATGCTGCATCAGGTCTGATGATGCAGCATCAGGTCTGATGATGCTGCATCACGTCTGATGATGCTGCATCACGTCTGATGATGCTGCATCAGGTCTGATGATGCTGCATCACGTCTGATGATGCTGCATCAGGT